TCCAAAAGCTGCTGTCTTTCTGTGCATGTTCTTTAACAATTTTAATCCTTGCTCTCTTATTCTTTGAGCGTATGAATGACTTCTGCTGCATTATTCTCTCTCTTTAGCCAAACTAATTTCCAGTGTTGTGTGAACTCAGTTGAATCTGGTGATTCTTGACGATGTCTGAAGTGATTTTTTTTGCTGCCGTTTTTCTTGATTTTTACTCACATTTATGCAGTCCATTTAGTTATGTTGGTCTTTATGGTGCTACTTGAGGGCTTTCTGTTCTCAGTTGCAAGTTCTCTTTTTTATTATCATTATTATTATTTGACAATGTACCCCACTGTGGAGGATGAAAGACTGAGGATTTTGCTGCTCTGATAAATTGTGTGTCCTTCCAAGTGCAAACAAATGATGCCTGATCTTTTCTCTGAGCTCACTTCACTTGTCGTAGTTAATTTTTGTGGATGTATAAAGTCTGTTACCCTTAAGTTCACACAGGTGTCTCTGGCAAGAGTAACCACAGGTGTAGTTTATCATACGGACTGGTTCCTCTTGAGCTGACAATCAGAATCTGTTCAAATACTTTCTGTTGCCATTTAGAGATCATCAGTCAGTCATGATGTAATTTATTTATTGATAGAGCTGTGCTAAACATATTTTTTCCAATAATGAAATAGCAATTTATCTTACGTTTTATGAACCTCATGAAAGCTCGCCAATAGTTAGAACTTTTGCATTCAAATAATATCTTATGTTTCAGTATAAACCTAAATACCCCACACCTTATATGTTACTGAAAGTCTTTTTAATAAGACTTTTAAAGGTTTTTGAAGGCCTCAATTTACAATTTAAGTAACATATTTCTCTTACCAATCTTTAACTGTGTCTAAAGACTTGTAAAGGGTCATTATGTATTGTTTATATGGACCTCAGAGACAAGAACAGATATGAAGGCATTTACCTAAACAGTACAGTAAAAGTAAAGACAGTGACAAGAATTGAAAGTATTCAAAATGACCTTTATGTATAATGTGGGCTAATTAGAAGATTTATGCATTTGCACATTTTCAAAGCTCCCCACACAGTTCAATTTACAATTACCATGCTTTTTAATGGGAAGATCCTCAAGGAAATTTGGATGACTGTACTCCTTCTGCAGCTAGCTTCACCGTGAAAATGATTTCACTCTTGCTTCTCCTTTTGTCCTTGGAGTAGTACTCGCTAATTAATTGTCTGTAATTGCAAATATTTTTGACACTGTGTCACAGAGCTGGTGTAGTTTTGCATAATTTTATTAAAGTTCAGTTGGATTAAGGGAACTATTGTAATGCTAATAATTCTATAACAGACTTTCTGACTTTAATACACACTTTAAAAAGTCAGTATGAACTGATCAATATATGTTCTGATGTTTTAAAACTGATTTGTTAGTTTGGGGCTTCTGCATGTAAGCTGACATTATAGAACGCTGCTCAAAAGGCTTTCACAGTTGCTTTCTTTAATTCTTTGTATTACTGCTTGTTTGCAATTTTTTTAATGTATTAAATTCTACTATAAATTGACTAAATTGTACTTTGAGCTAATCTTTCAATTTTTTAAACTACAGTATCATGATGGAAAGACTGGGTTGTCCAAAGGGTTGTTCCCATGGCACAGAAAAAGAAACTCAGAGTACACAATGTACTGTCATTTGACAGAGAGAGAGAGAGAGACAGTGATGGAGAGGCAGAAAAAGGGGGAGCGTGAAAAAAGGAAAAGAAAGAAGTAAACTGGCAGTGTGAGAGTGAGTGCACGAGCAGCGGAGGTCATTTATATAACCACAGTGATGAAACATTCATAATTTAGCCCTTCTAAAGTGTGAACAAGACTGAGCTCCTTTAGCCAGACAGCAGGGTACAAGAAAAACCATTTACTGTGAGAAGGCCAGAAAGACTGCTTGACATCCTTTTAAGGCACTTATTAAAACTCATTTTCAAAGAATTACTTTGACTGGGATGACTTCCATCCTAATATTTAGGCTATTGATTGTTACCCTCTAACCATCCTTTCATGTCATTTATGCGCTAGGCCTTTTTGGGATTGTTTAACAGCTTTGTAAATTTCTGCAAAAAAAAAAAAAAAACATGCTTGAAGAATAAAGTCTATTAGGATAATTACTTCAGGGGCTCACAAGAATGTCAGGTGCGACTCACATTGTTCACATATTGAAATAGAAGAGAGAAAAATAGGATTTCATGTGCATCAATTACTCTCCAACCAGCCTAATCCCCCCTCTCTTACCAAAAACTCATTCACCCATTGCCATGGAAATGAGCCGCAGGAAGAATAGGGCCCATCATCCACATCATCACTGCCATGTCAGGCAATGTGCCCGCTATCCCTTATTATGGGATGGAGATGCTTCTTGAGAGCACTCTCAACTTCCCCATGGAAACAGACCAATGGTTCAGGCAGGGGGTGTGTTTTATAATCACCCTTTTGCCCTGAGCACACACACACACACACACACACAGAATCCCAGTATCTTCACAAAATACAGTGACCTCATTAAGCAGGGAGGAGCTGACATTCTAATGCAATATTCGGATTAAATTGCACACAAATACATAAGGAAAATATCCTCTGAAGATGCTGCCCCATTGGTGAAAATACTGTTTTTTAATAGCTTTTCCTTTCTGTCAATAATAAATTCACTGTTTTTTTCTCCATCATGTTTTTATGGCAATGATCCCTGAGATATATAAATGTAACCCTTTTTTTTTTTTTCTCTCCAAAAGACAAGTCACAACTAGGGCATGAAATGTAGCTTGCCTGCTCCCCTGCTAGCGAGTCCAGAAAGGGGCGCATGAGCCTGGTTGGAGACCACAGCCATTAGCTGCTGATAGAAGGAGTCATTACAGTAGGACGAGTGGAAAATGGATATAAAATGACCTGCTACTGAAGCAATATGTTTGTTTACAGGAGGTAAAGGAGGTAAGGCACCACCTCTCGCCGTGTTCCTGAGCGCGTCCTGATATTAAATAGTGAACAGAAAATGTAGTAATTTAAATGCTGATGTTGGTGTTTTGTAGCAAGCTTTCAGAACATTGTGGATTTGCAAAGTGAGTCTGCACTGAAGAAAAAGAAAAAAAAATCCACAGTTTTGAATGTTTATATAACCTGAGTGAGAGTTCCATGCTGTCCATGCATGGATCCTTTGCTTTCTTGTTTAAGTTGATTAACATGAATATAGCAGTATTCTGTCAAGCTTAGAAAATCTGAATCATAACTATTACAGTGTAATTAACTGAGGTGGGCTCCTCATCATTACCTGGTCTGCCGCCTGGTCTGCATTCAAATAACTCCAATTACAGCATATTAGTTTATATTAGACTGAAACAGTGCATATCTTTCAATGAAGTTGTAATAAATATAAAAAACTAGTTTTATTCAACCATAGCAGTACCGGTTGGTTTGTGGGTCTCTGTGCTTTTAAAGACACAAGCATGTACATAAATCTGCTGTCACCACAGAAACCTTTACCTTTAAAAGCGTTCTTTAAAGTATGCCCCCGCCAAGCCAGCAAATGTTTAAAATGCCAGTGACACCGATGACCCAAAGCTTATGACCGCTCACAGATGAAGCGAATCTATACTCTCACTGAGCCTTTAATAAGGAGCAGCAGACGAATATTGAGTCAGGCCCGCATTCGCTGTCAAAACAGCCTCAGTTCTTGATGTCATGAATTTCAAACGATGTTGGAAACCTTCCTTTGAGATGTTGCTCCACGTTGACATGATTCATCACGTCATTTCTACTGATTTGTTAGTTTCAAATTCCTCTATCTCTTAGGTGTTCTTTTGGATTCAGGTGAGCTGACCAAGGACGCCATGCTTTCAAAACAGTCTGGGACAAGTTTTGTTTGGTGACAAGGTGTACTAGCCTGCTGGAAGTAACCATGAGAAAATGGTAATCTGTGGCCATAAATGACGGCACATGGTCAGCAATAACACTGAGCTGGACCACGGAATTCAAACCATGATTGTGTGTATTAAAGTGCCAAGTTAACATTTCTTAAATCATGACACTACCAGCGGCAGAAGCCAGGACTGTTGACAATGAGCCAGTTGGATCCATGGGTTCCTGCTGTTGATTCTGACCTACTGCTCAGCAGAAACAGAAACTCATCAGACCAGGATACAGATTTCAAGGCTTCAGCTGTCCAGTTTTGGTGAGTCTATGTGCACTGCAGCCCCAGATTTCCATAGTTGGCTGGCAGGAGTGGAGCCTGTCGTGGCCTCTTCTGTTGTAGCCCATCCTCCTCAAGGTTGGACATGTTGTTCACTCTGAAATGCTTTTCTGTTCAACACAGTTATAAAGTGGATTTCTGAATTACTGTAGTTTGTCAGCCCCACACGCTCTGGCCATTCTCCTTTGACCTCTCTCATCAACGAGGCGTTTCTGTGTACAGAACTGCTGCTCACTTGGTGACTTTTGCTTTTCACACCTTCCTGCATGAACACCAGAGACTCTAAATCCCAGAAGGTCAGTAGTTTCAGAAGAACTTAAAAAAACATCTGCCGCCAGCAATCATCCCACAGTTAAAGTCACCGAAATCACATTTTCTAAATTCAGACAATTATACGAACATTAACTGAAGCTTCTGACCTTAATCTGCACCATTTACATCAGCGGTCTCCAACCTTTTTTGCAGCAGGACCAGTTTCAAGCAAGACAATTTTCTACAGACCAGTCATTGCACACATAACAAATAATTAGCTTTTTTTTTTCTATTAAAAAAGTGTCGTAAATGAATAAAATTACTTGTTTTTGCTAAATGTGTTTTCACTTTTTCTTCGGTCTCAGCATTGAGTCTCTCCCTGTTTTCAAAGAAGCTCTCCAGAGACGCTCGTTTTTTATTCATTTTGGCAGGAAGTGACGGAAAGATGGTCTAGTCATTTTTCAAAATAAAACACCCTGCAGACGGAAATAAAATAAAAAATAAAACGTTTTATAATTTCTGTGCAGCCTGGTACCGAATGACCCACGGCCCGGTACTGGTACTGCAGCCCGTTGGTTTGGGGACCGCTGATATACATATTGCTCTGCTGCCACATGATTGGCTGACTGCATGAGGAAGCAGGACTACAGGTGTTCCTACAGAAAAGCTTGATGCCTGTTTATCAGTTCTATCACAAGGACGTCATGGTGCCAAGAATGACTGTGAACATTGCAGCTGGAATATAGTTTACTCCTGTTTATTCTCTCTGAACACTTGTCAATTCAGCGTGTCAGAACCATGACAGCAGACAACTGAGGTGGTAGTGAATATAAGAGAGAAAGGAAACAAAAAAACCAACGGACAAGGGAGACTTTTTTTTTTCAAAAGAGTTATATGGGCTCGTGAAGGATATCTATTGAAAAGGGGAACTCTATTACACTGGTTGGTAGCAGACATTTAATATAAAGCTAATATTGGCTAATAGTTGTTTTAGCAAAGGAAGCAAAAAAAAAAAAAAAAAGCAAGAATTTAAAGTGAATTCTTGTATAAAACACGACTCTGGATGATGTCGAATGCTTTCACTGAATTCAACTGAAGTGACACAAACACACAGACACAGAAGCCGAGGGAGGCAGTGGCTCTGACAGAGTAACCGGAGACACGGAGGGATGGACGGAGCAACAGGGGAGGCGGGGGTGCTGAAGGCACACTGCCACGTATTTGACTTATTGATTATGTGTGTGAAATCTCATCCACTCCACATGGCTGTAAGGTGTGTAGCACTGGTTATTTATAGCAGGGCGTCCACTCTCATTCTTCCATGTTGCGGTCGGGAATTTTTGATCTATGCTGCAGCCACCGGCTCCTTCTTCTGTCAACGCAGCTTACCCTCATCTCAGCCTAACACAATGTGGGCCCTTATCGGGGGAAAGCGTGATTGCATATTACAAATTTATGGTCAAAACCCTACAGCCACTCTTCCTTCCTCTTCTGTGTTGTTGCCGGTCAGGATTAAGGTCAACAAGCGTGGAGCGTAATGTCCTGGTGGTTAGCAGGCCAAGACACATATCGTGTACTCAAAATGTCACAGGTTTGAATCCAGCTTGTGACCTTTGTTGAATGTCATATCCTCATTGCACTCAATCTTTTCGGCTATTGTGTTGTTGTGTTCGTCAATAAAGCACAAATGCCATTAAAATACATGCATTCAGGAGAAAGAGGAGATGTGGTCAGAGCTTGAAAGTGACACCGAAGAAGTCAAACTGATAACAAATATTCCCACCGGTTCCTGTGTCACTTTGTGGTTCATTTGAGCACATCTAGATGATTTGATGGTAAATTACATCAGATATAAGAGATCAGGGATTTGGGAGCTTTTCATATTATATTCTATGATTATACCTTTGACCCTGTTGGGTGGGGCCAACTAGGCAATAAGAGATGCATCAGAAACAATAGTAGTAGTAGTAGCAGTAGTAGTAGTTTACTTCACTCTTCAAAAATATGATTATTATTATTATTATTATTATTATTATTATTATTATTGTTATTATTATTGTTATTATTATTATTATTGATCAGCTTTATATAGCACTTTTCTAGGCACTCAAAGACGCTTTACGCTGCCAATTATTCATTCACACACATTCATTCTGGTGGTGGTAGCTACGATTGTAGCCACAGCCGTTCTGGGGAAGACTGACAGAGACATGGCTGCCATTCTGCGCCTAAGGCCCCTCCAACCACCACATCAAACAATCCATTCATACACATTCACACCAGGCAATGTGGATGAAGTGTCATGCCCAAGGACACAACGACCATGGCACAGGTTAAAGGGTGGAACGGAACCGCCGACCTTCCGATCATTGACCGTCTCGTTCGACCACTTGAGCCACAGCCGCCCAATTTTAAACATTATTAATATATTAGAACCCTNAGTAAAGATCAAAACCATGATTTCCACTTGGTTCTTGGTTGTGACCATCTTACAAAAGAAGACATTTACCTCTTTCCTCTGTGGTTTAATCTGAAATACGAAGAGTACAAATTATCTAGTGTACCCTAAAAACAGCGAAGCTTAGTGTAAAGTCTGAAAAAATGTGTAGATGAATTTTGTATTTTCTTCTTTCACGTCCTCTCAGATTCACCTACCCTGTAGGCTGTGAACCATTAGCCTTACCAATCTACCTGTATATAAAGTGGTAAGAACCAGCCTTTCTGGCCATTTTCAGATCTCTCCAGAGAGGTTCGATTGGATTCAAATGAGAGTTCTGGCTGGGCCAATCAAGGATGGTGACACAGCTGTCCCCATGCCAATCCAGCCTTGTCTTGGATGATCATTAGGGTCATTGTCCTCTCAGAAAGTGAATCTTCAGCCCAGTCCCAACCCTGAGCACTGTGGAGCAGGTTTTCATCATGGATATCTCTGTACTTTGCTCCACTCAGCTTTCCATCAGTTCTGACCAGTCTGATTGTCTTGTGTGTGTGTGTCCCTCCCAACATAAGACTTTTGGTGGTAATTGAGTATTTTTACTTTGAACCATTCAGACTTCCCAGTACTTCAGCTAGCAGGCTAACAGTACTTGATAAGGTGCAAATAATCCAGTGTCTATTCAAAGTCTTTGTACATTATCACTTAATCTCATGTTGCTCATATCGTTATGCAGTTATGTGAACAGTCAACTGGTGACTCAGTGAAGAGCCTCACAGTTTCACTTTTAAAAGTTGAATTACATTGAAATCAGGACCCCAATTCACAAAGGCGATTTGCGAGCTGTGCCTACACGCAGACTGGAAACAGTGTCACATCAAACGACTATCGAGTGCTACACAGCTTTTGCATGAGTTGTAATTATGGCATTTGTTTTGATTAGTGAAACGTGTCAGAATAGAAGCAGGAGGAAATAATCCCATGTTACAAATTGCAGCTTGTATGGCACAAAATTGGAAACAGACCCCTGTAGCACGGAGGAGGCATTCATTTGCATCCACACCACTGAAATGAATGAGGAGCAAATTTCAGGCTGACTGCACCTTGAGGAGAGCTCTGTTTATATAAAATCAGTGAAACTACATGGGTGGGTACAACATGACATTTTCAATGGCTGCGCAGGGCCCAGATGAAACATGCTGACCTCTAATTTATGTGTGTCCACATGCTAGGTGCTCTCGTACCTTTTCAAAGACATCTTTGATGCGCAATTCCAGTCTGGAAAGTAGTTATTTGGTTCCATTTGGAGCTCTTGAGTGTTCCTCTCTGAGCTCACATTGTTCGACCAAGACTACAAACCCTTGCTCTTTGCTGACTCAGAAGCATCTCGTGCCCTCTTAGATGTTTTTCATTTAATGCTTTTTAAAGCTAGAAAATGCATTAAGCTTAATTGTTTCCCTTCCCTTAAATCACCCCTTAGCTCTGTAGCTCTGTGGCTTTAGCATAGGTTCGGAACTGCTTACTTTCCCTGTTTGGAATTAACACTAAATCATAATTAGACATAACCGTACATGAATGGACTGTTGGGTGGACTGACCTGTAGTCTGCTCACATGGCTGTCTGAAGCCAGTAATGAAGTATAAACAGCCAGATGGTATAATAAGTCATCAAAATGTACCGAAAGGTCTCTGTGCATGACTCAAATAAAGCCTGACAGCATTAAACTTCCCCCGATAATGACATTACTTAACGGGCAATTATTGCAATATCAATCTAAAATGTTATTACATCATCCAACATAACTGCTTTAATTTACATATCTGACACATTAGGCAGACATTTAAACACAGTTTGACAAGTTATTATATTGCCCAAAGGTTATGGTATTATAAGCTGCAAGAAGATGGCTCATGCCTTACCCAGACCCAGCAGGTCCACGGCCGCCTCTGTGCCTTTCTTGGGGCTGGCTCTGCACTCTGCCTGCTGAGCAAGACAAAGAGAAGAAAATACATATAAGTATAATGTCTAACTTGTCCCACCAGGCTTCCATGTGACCTAAATGCAATATCATTACACCAGACATGTGACAATTATGTGAAAGGAATAGACCTGTCTATTGCAAGTCTAATTTAACACTCCAATATTGAATTTTATTAAAAATAGTATATTAAATGTCACCCACTGGGCTTTCCCCTGAGTGCAGTCTACATACCATTTACACTGCAAATTTGTCAGGATGACTTTTTGGTAATTATGTCCTCCTGGTACAGGCCATCGAGTAAATCCTGTGAGTCCTATAACCAAAGACTTACATATATGACCTAAAAAAGATTATTATGTTTGATTCCAGTGAAGGTTGTTGCTGTTTCAAGGGATCCTGCAGAGTTTTCTGACTGCGAGCGACACTATATGAAGCAGTGTTCTGATGGCCTCAGTCCCTGTTTTTACTTCTCTGCTAGCCTGTACATATGCACATCCAAGAGGTTACCAATGCACGAGTAAAAGGAAGGAACAAAGAGGACAGACAACTGATTTAAACAGTATTAACTGATTAGTTTGGCCCTTTTGAGTTCAAGGAATAAGCTGTAAACACTGGCATACAGCATGTCAGCAAATAAAGTTGTGATAGAGACCATTCCAGCCATGTAAAGGAAACATGGAGCAAAATTAGTATTCACTTAGAATAATGTTTCTGTCTGTACTACTCTGTTTAGATCTGTTATGGTCTCTGCCAACTCCTTAGAAATAGCTAGCTCATACTCATTAAGAACAAGGCAGCACCACTTGTAGCTGCCTACTGATGGATGCTGGAGTGTGATGAAAGCAGTGAGACTGAACCAAATAGTAAGTTAATGGCTGGGAAATACTAAAACAATCAGCTGCAAAAAGCGAAGAAAAGGTTCCAGAGAGTCGTGTCAGCTTGTGGCAATACCGATGATCAACTAATTATGTAATTCTAAAAATTATATATCAAGTAAACTTGAGTTATTTTCTCTTTACACATTTTAGATGGTGTTTGTCGGTGATATACTATTAAAAGAAATGAGCGGGACACATAACCAGCTAGTGGGGAAGGAGAACATAAATGAACGAGAGAGCGAGGGAGAGAAAGAGGGCGATACAGTCAAAGGGCAGGGGAATGAGACGACGTAGTGACGAGGGTAGGACGGGGATGGAGAGAAATGAAGTGAAACTGGAAAGAAAAATGTGGCGAGGGAGAGAGAGTATAAAAGGTTAACACGTGGGCCATGAGAGATCTACAACGCTGGTAACAAACCCAATTTCCCCCCAACAAAAGATCGATGGACCACATTAGATTCAATGTCGTTCCAATCCTAGGCAATGAAAACAATTACCGTGTCCACGCCTAATCAAGAATGCATTGGCTGTGAATTGATGTGTGTTGGGACTGCAGCAAAGCTTGAACAGCAGCGGCGTGAATCGCAGCAGGAAGGTCGTTTGTGTTCAGCAGCAAAAGGTTGGTTTGTGCCGTGCATTCATATTGGCCAACGCTGAGGGGCGGTTATATAATAACTTAGAATTTAAGGAAGAGCTGTAGCAAAACTAAAGTTAGGGTCAGGGACGGGCAAACAGAAAATTTGCAAGACATTTCTTTATCAGTAAGAGCTACGTGCGTCACAGTATTGTCCATTTATAGCAAATAGTTCTACAGCTAGAAATGCTGTTGGAGAGAATTTAGAGGGAACTTTTTGAGCTAACAGTTTAGTGGATAATAGCAAATGCATAAAGAGAGGAGGTTTGGGTGGAGGAGGGCAGCAGACAGCGTTGGGATGAAAGATCTGTATCAGTATGATTAGATGTTATTAGTCAGCTGGTAGCGAAGCAGCTGATTAAGTCACGCATGTACAAAGCAACTGATGCCAATTAACCAAAGCAAGTGGGACTTAAGAGTGCATCCACGATAGGACCAGGCGGGGGTGGCACAAGCCATCTCACCGATTTCAATGAAACTTTGCCATTTTAAAGGAGTCCACCCAAAACTACTTCCGTCTAAGTTTTCTGTCAGCATTTTCTGTCTGTTGCTATGTCATTATTACCAAATTGGCGCGTTATAATGAAAAAAAAATGTACGCGGGTACCTTGTGGTGGGCAAAGTATTTGTTTTTATTTAAGCAATTAAATATAATTAGTTCTATTTCATTAAAGTGTATGGTGTGTAACCATTTTGTGGCATTTTCTGTCTGTTGCTGTGCCATAGTTACAGAATCAACGCGTTATAATGAAAAAAAACTGAAGCGTGTAACCTGCGGTGGGAGACAAGTTTGCAGTCCTCCTGTAAAAATAATTTAGTGAGTGCCCAAAGATTTTATTGTAGATAATGTTAGTATGAAGTCCCACCTTTTAGACGGTATGCTCAGCTTTTTGAAGCATGCTCGGGCACTGGAGATATTTTGGCCTAAACTTCGGGTATTTTAACAGTTTTCACTGTTGGGTGAGAGAGGCGGTCTTGGCTGACATGATTTGTGTGATAGAACTCGTCGTAAGAGAACGAAATGTTGACAATAGATTGTCCTTGGGTAGGATAACATTCACTGAAAATTTGAAAAGATTTGGTTGAATTCTAACAGCAGTAGAGCTTTATACTTCTGACCATTTTTTAGGCGATTTTTGGTCATTTTTGCAAAAACAACAAGGAGGGGTGGTGAAATCCCCCCAGTTTGACCAAATTTCCTTAAACTTAGACTGAAGCAGTTTTGGGTGGACCCCTTTAAACTGGTAAAGTTTAATTGAAATCGGTGAGATGGCTTGTGCCACCCCCGATTAAAAAAAGTTTAATTTGAATTTAACCACCTTAGTCTCATTGTATGGTTAACACGGTGCTGGAAAACAAATAAATAAATTTGTAGACGTATATAAAATAAGTAAGCATAAAGGAATTAACTAACTTTGATACACATGAAATAACAAAAACAAGCACAACTCTAAAGTGCACAAAGGGCGACCAGGATAAAGCCGCAGCACCGTGTTGAGGTTAAGGCTCCTAGCAGCTGGTCTGGACCGGAGTCACCGGACAGAGACCCTGCACCGGCTTCAACAAGCACCCCGACGTCAAAGCTGTCAGCCCTCAGAGCAGACTGCCGGGAGTGTGCTCCTTAGGTGGAGGTGGTGGAGGACACTTGGTCAGGTGTGTTTTTAGATCACAAAGTTGTCACAGCCTCCACCAGAGGAAGTCCACAGACGGGGGTGGTGGGAGACCGTCGACTAGCAAGCCGAGAAAGACCTACACGGAGGGCAAAGTGGCTCATTTATTAAAAACCACCACAGACTGATTATGAGCCAAGAAGGGAGCATGTGTAAGGTTTGTTCATGCAACGGAATTTTGTGTGTTTGTTGTGTGCTTTAATGCCGGTTTGCATCTAATGCTTTGAAGACAAGTGACTGAGTTTTCTATCTGAAAGTTTTCTTATTGCTATTGATAAAGTGTCCATCATTGGTAGATCCTCAGCTCCACTTTGACAGGAAGTAGCACAATTGTTTCTGATGTTGTTCCACAGATGCTTTTTTTTTCACTGTCAGAAAAATGCAATTTAATTGAGATGCACAAAGCCACTTTTTCTCTCCTGATACCAAGACAACACTCCAACTCAGGGTATCCGCTAAAGAACACTAACTGCCAAGTAGAAGTCTTTATCTATAAACTATAAAACATGCATACCTCAATGCATGGAATTCATTGTAATTGTCTTCAGGAAACACAATAAGATGCCAAAGACTAAAACAAAGACTCACGAGGACTGAACGAATGTAAGTGATAGCAGAAAAACGACATTTTTATAATTGCTCAGCTGCAAAAGTTGCTAACAGGTAAAATAAATGGTCTAAACTACGTTTATACTTTGCACTTCCTCGCTGACATTGGCAGTGACATTGGGAGAAGACCTAAATCATAAAGGGTCTAACTTGCTGGATGAGAGCGTTTGCAATTACCCTTGTTTATTTTCCTTCAAGAGCTTAAATGGAATCATTAAGTAGGTTGACTGTTTTTTATTGTCACCTGCTCCAGCACAGTACACACAGGAATGATATCGGACTTGTCATGTCCCCTTAATAAAGGGAATTTTCAGTATGTGCAAGAATTTGACGATTTTACATGTAGTACAAAATATTCCCAATCAAAACTGGCACAACAATAAAACAACAACATCTTTGTATTGTATATCTTTGTAACAACATTATTGGCTTTAACTCATATTGGTTCAAACCTTAGACTGAAATTCACAAGAAAAATCCAATACGAAATTAAGCAAGGAGAGAACAGCCAGAAAACATGTTATGTTATGCCTGTCCACTGGATTTCAGACATTTCAGACCATGCAGTGTTACAAAGTTGAGATTACATAGTTGTTCAATGGTACATCCCACACAGCTGCTGCGAAACAGAGAAGAAAGAAATAAGGGAATCCTAAATGTCACTGTGAATGAAAAGCTTAAATTCCCTGCTGTATGTTCTGAAGGATTTGGAATTACATGCTGCCAAAATTTGTGCCATAACACTGACAGACAAGTTTGGTTTTACTGCCCACAATCTGGTTATGGAGGAATGGACATCCTTTGTAATTAGTTATCTGTGGTGACACCAAGCGATGCAGCTTACAGACAGCCAACGAAAGACCGTGATTGGCTGTCAGTGTCGGCCGTGTTTGAAGACAGAGAATGTGAAATTGGAAGGGAGGCCAGCAATCGATAACCAACCCCCTGAACAGGTGAGGAGTCTTCACTTGATGGCGATGGCAGTTTGAATGAAAAGCACTGAGCAAACCAAACCCTCTGATGACTGCTGTCAAATCAGATTGCTGTCAAATACACACCAGACAAAGCCACCATCTGACGGCTGTCACACCGAACGTCTGAGTGGGGGCACAGCCTGCTGTAACTTTCTCCCTGACGTACTCAACAGACAAGGCAAGTGACAGTGAGGTACTGCTGAGTCTCATCCACTTTCTTTTAACATATAAGGC